TGTTTCCAAAAAGGCCAAAGTAAATAACCCAGTCCTTCTTTTCACTGTAGACAAGCCATGATCTGCTTATCTGTTCTCCATTTTTCATTCGGATGAAATGAAATCTGTTGATGAGCAGTGGAGCGTGGTTAGGCAGGTTCTTCCAGAAGTCCGCCATGATCTCCTTGGTCTTCTCCACCTTCAGGATCAGGCTGTTATCTCTGCACCACCAGCTGCTCCACCTCCTCTCTGTAGTCCAGGTCGTTGTGGTCTCTGATGAGGCCCACCACCGTGGTGTCGTCTGCAAACTTCCCCATGTGATTGGTGGTGAACCTGGGGACGCAGTCGTGTGTCATCAGGGTGAACGGCAGGGGGCTCAGGATGCAGCCCTGAGGGGAGGGGCTTAGACTGATGACATCAGAGGTGTTTTGTCCGACCCGGACTGACTGAGGTCTGTTGGTGAGCAGATATTCAGTAGTTGTTTCTTTCCCTTCCCTGTCTCTACTTCTTCTCTTTCTCTCTATCCTCACACATGAATGACAGGAACTTTCTATCATTTATGGAGGACACATAATGCCGTATAAAATGCACATTTCTAATGAAAAGGTTGTACTTCGGTTGGATATCAGTGACTGACCGAACGCTGCATCAACTTCTACAATTTCTGATTCATCTTGCAGTTAAATAAACACAACCCATTTTTATTATGTTATTGTAAAAGCAGATGGGCAATGAGTGAGCTGTTTGTTATTTCCTCAGCAGATTTGGGCAAAGGTGAAAAAATACCTCCAACTTTAAGTCAATTGTTTATAGAAAGTGTCACAGGTTCTTTTCTCCTGCGTGGTGGGGGGGCCTTTGATGTAGAAATAGATGTATTCAAGTAAAAACAAAACAACGTTTGGATTAAAAAGTTAACTTTATGTTTCAGTTATATGTTGGTAAATATTTCTATTTGCAGTTTTACTTTCATTTGTTTAGGATTTGATTTAAAAACTCATTTAGTTTCCCAAAAAACAAACGACACATGTTAATAATCCAGAGCAGGGGGGGGATTTACCATTAGGCAATACTAGGCAGTTGTCTAGGGCCCCATGTTCCTGGGGGCCACATAAAACTCTGTT